TATATATATATTTATGTCTGTAGTGATCGCTTGTTTTCCTTTCAATTAAATAATTTCCTACACTCCCAGCACTTACTTCTTTGCTTAAAAACCGCAACAATTACTTGTCGCAATCAACACAGACATGAAGGGTTTCCAATAACGGCGCCACAATATGATTTAAACGATATTTTTCATCTAATTCATTTTTGAAGTAACTAATTGCTTCCATTGTTCAAATATAGCAATCATTATTTCTAACGATAGCAACACATCATCTTCCATTATAACAGTTTGATTTTACTACTTCCAAAAATTTAAGACTAATTAGCATTCATCAAAATTCTTCATCATCTTAAACTTTCCCATTTAACTGCAAATTCATTATTTAGTTTTTTTACTATCGTATCTGTTCCTAGCATTTATAGCGATACGTATATAACCTTTTGATACTTATTGACTATATATACGAAGAAAAGAAAATATGGAGGTTATATAAAACATATTTTAACTTTCAAATACCTTATCACATGTAGCAGGTCGGAGATAAATCTTCTGTTGTATTTTCTTCATCCTGGCGCTGGATGGTGCTCCTACACTCTCGCTGTACCTGACCGGTCTGCAGTTCTGTTGATTCCGGTACACTAGTTGAGTACTTTCTTAAATCCTTTACGAAGCTTTTTTCAGCAATCTCACCTCTTTTCCATTTGTTTTCATTTATGATTCCAAGCTTGGCTTTTTTCTGTTTCTCCTCCATTTTCTGCTTTGTATATATATATGTATATATACATCGTGAAACTTTTACTTTTTTTTGTTTCTATTTTTGTGCAGATTGAAAACTACCGAGAAGATTTATTCTTTATTTTAGATGAAATAAATTAAAATTTTCACCGCATTACCAAATCAGACGCTTAATAAATTGATTTTATGCTGAATTGCAATCCGTTTAGAAAATGGCGTGACAACTGCTCAATACTATTATTAAAAAAGAACATTATGCAAAAATTAGTTGTATGCTGTGATGGAGGTAGATGCAATCTTTGAAAACAAGAGTGATTAATAATTTTTAAACACAAATTGATATAATCATGTGATTTCCATGAAATTGGTAATGTAAGCTGAACAAGTTGCTATCTACCATTTTCGATAATCAAATCATTTATTGTTTTTACTTATGTTTTTTACTAAATAGATATGCTATTTAGTGAAAAACATAAGTAGAAACAATAAATTATATATATATATATATATATGTAATTGGAGTTCAATATTTTTGTGATGCAAATGACTTTTTATGAGGTAAAAATTAAGGTGCAATTTTTAACTCAATATTTGCTGACATTGTCATAAAAAATTTCGCTTAATAAAGATATATTTTTTAGTGATGTTTTTAGCTTTTACAAAATACTTTTTTGTTACACTTGTGATGATTGACACCCTTTTAATTCGGTGTTTTATTTGGCTGCTCTAATACTGCTTGTTACTTTCAAATGTAAATTAAACGGTAGTTTTCTATGAAAAGTTAGCAAAGTACTGAATTGTATAATCATTTTTGCCTTATTTTTCGCAATCATGCATGCATTGATTTATGGTGTATCAGCAATATCATTTTCTTGTTACTGTTTTAATGGCATTTGTATTGCACGTTCTGTTTATTTCGACTTTTCTGATATAATTTTTTAACTAAAAATAGTATTTTACTAAAAATTAGCTAATATTTATTTTTTTATTTTATATTTCAGTAATGAATATAGTGTCACTGAGGATTGTTCACTATTTTCTTAAATAATCAACCAATAAGTCATGATAAAAAGTGAAAAGTTTGAAAAAGTATTGTATTATATTATTAAGTTTAGAAGTAATTTGTCAAGATGTAGCCTTTTAAATCAGTAATTGACTTTCCTCTTTCATTTGCTGAAAATAAAGTTATTACATTTTCCATGAAAGATCTTATGATAAAAGAAGGAAAGCAAAGTAGACAAAGCTTGAAAATAGCAAACCTAATTAGTTCAACCCATTAACTGTGATGCTCGAAGCTGCTATTACTGATCAGTTGTTGTTAATAAATGAATCGGTGATAGTTATATTATATTGCATGCAGCTAAAATAGCTCTAAAACCTTTCAATGCATTATTTTCAAAGGCATAAATTATTATACTGCAAATAAAAGAGGATCAACTTATTTGGTTAACTTATGCTTTAGAATTAATAATTGCACATTTATATTTATCAAATTTCTGCCCAGTTTAATATCTACATAGCACAATAAAAATAAAACTTTGGTTTTTCTTTTTTTAGTAATTATAAATAATAAAAAATTTGCTATAAGTTTGAAAATATGAACAGATTAGATACAAAATGAGTGAAAATTATCACCTTTTAGCTCACATTCTGACTTTTATTAACATAATAATTTTCAATGAATAAAAATCAAGAAAACAAAAACTCAGCATTATTTAAGGTATTTGTTGATTAAAATAGTCAAAAATAAATTTAATTGATGTGGTATTGCTAATGTATGCATGCTCGCTAGTTTTTCAAAATATTTTTGAGACAAAAAAATTAATCAATGCTAATTAGTCAGTCTGTGGCATAAATATATTTATTTATATGCGTTTAAAATTGCATTTTTGTGAAGAAATCCTTCAGAAATCGCGGTGTAAAATGGCGTGGTTATTTGACCGTTCATCCAATCATCATACTCTTCTACTATCTTCTCTTTTCAACCTTGCAATTTTCATCACTTACCGATAGAACCGCCCATTTTTTTTCAGTGTAAAAATTGTCAATGATTACGGTAAGGGAAGTTATTCAGTTTAATTGTGATTGTGATGATGAGAGTTGGGATTAATCGTAACCAGACTCGAAAAATGTTCTCAACAAAATCAGAAAATGCTCCTAGTTCAACCGTAACTGCTACTATTAATAACTGTTTTTCTATTAGTCATCTTTTGCAAGTCACGACTACTTCTTCTTGCTCTTCCGTACAAGAATCTGATACTACTGATGCTAAATATAACTCAAAAAGAAATGAAGAAAGTCCTGGAACATCAAGAAAGTCACTTCCTAATATGTTATTACCATCTGACAATTCTGAAGCAAAAACCGACAAAAATGTATTCAGTGGTATGCAAAGTAATAACTGTAAACAATCTAACTTTCCATTACCTTTAAATTCAGCAATGGATATATTAAATCAGCCAGACTCTTTTTTAGATTCAAAATCTGTTAGTGCTACTACTACTATCGCACCACATTTAGATGAAAAATCATTATTACCATATGCTGAAACAAGTATACCGTTTTGGTTAAATTGTGCTGCAGCAACTGCTGCTGCAATACCATTTGAACAAACATTTTTGATGGCTCAAAGATCAGGTTGTTTTTCCATCTCATGCAAAGATTTACATTAAGTTTTGTTTTTCTTGTGTAATCACTCTCCACTCTATAATTTTCATGAGCATATTTTAAAATTTACACACTTTATATTATTAATGGAAAGAATGAAATTATGCAAATTTTTCGAGCATTAAATTGCAGTTATTTATTTTGTACTGACACGATTTTTTCTGAAACGTTCAAGGTACGTTGTATACATATAATCTATTCACTTGTTAAGTTTTTTGAGCTATATTATTACATCAATATTTGGAAAAAACATCTAGTGATATTATTAAATTATAAATGATTGCTTAAATTTCAAAAACAGGCTTTCTGCCTTGTCAATAAAATATTTTTTTATGTAATTTGATTTTGTATATCTAACTGTAAATGTAAATAGCAAAAGGCTTCGCAATTTTTCTTGCAACTTTTTTAATTTTATTACATAATCCAGTTGTTGTTTTGTGATTGCTTACTCAGATCAATTATGTTAATTTACTTTACTGATTAAAAATGTTATAATAGCTTACTAGTTAAATGCTTTTTACTAGTAATAGAGTACTTCATTGAGTTTATAAAGCTTTAAGAATTGAATCATTGAAATCTAACAATAATTTTAATTCCAAGCATTTTTCTTCCTCTTTAGGAACGAATTTAATTTTTTATTATTCTGGCTCAATATAAATTTTGAAATCAATACTGTCGCATTATTTTTGAAACTGAATTTCCAAAAAAATTTTATTACTACTTTTTTTCAAGTATAAATTATTGTATAACTTTTGCTTTGCACAAAAAAAAAGTTTTAGCTGAGGCCAGAACTATTCAAAAATTGAAAATTTCAACATTTTCAGCAGCAATACTACCTAATTTGTGGGCATCTTCGACAAATGCAGATGCATTACGACTAGTTGCAGCCAGCAAATCATATCGACGAAGGAAAGCACGTACTGTATTTTCAGATCAACAACTACAAGGTTTGGAAAAAAGGTTTGAAACGCAACGGTATTTATCAACACCCGAACGTATTGAACTCGCTACTGTACTTAACCTAAGCGAAACGCAGGTACGATCTTTTCAATGAAGAATATATGCAAATATTAAAAAATATGCAAACATTCATCTTCCAATAAGTTTTTATCATTAAAATGATTAATTTATATACAAATTTCTTTGCAGTAACAAAAATTACAATATTTCAGGTGAAAACATGGTTTCAAAATCGACGTATGAAGCATAAAAAAATTGTTCGAAAACAAGGTGATGGCTGCATTGGAAGTGAAAACACTGCTAACAAGTCAAGTAATATGGATTCAGACAAAGAATGAGAATCTGTTGCATGTTAGTTACATTTTTTAAAATGTAAGTAATACAGTTATTTGAAATAACATGGACATGAGATAGTAAAAAAATTCTAGCTCATAAAAAGCAAAATTTTGCAAAAATAATTACAAAATAAAATAGCAACTTAATATATATTTATGGACTGAATCAAATACTGCTCGCTTATATTTTTTACAAATGTAGCTTTTTATGTTTTAAATTTTGCTTGTTAAAATGTATTAAATTTGTGTATCATTTTATTTTTTCTCTCTAACTTTTTTTTGTTTTTATGTAAAAAATACTACTTAATTCTGATGTTAAAGCATTGCATGAAATAAGTGTAATAAGTGAGTTAATTGAGCAACCAGTAATTTATTTTCTTATATCAAACACAAAAGAATTAATGATTGCAATATTACACAAAGATTTCACTTTTAAATCTTATATTTCAGCTCTATTTTTTTCAAACAAGCATTAACTTTAATAATTTAAGATGAGAAAACTATAAAATATGGTTTCTGGTTTGTTTTATCAACAGAAAGCATGGATTTATACGGGGATATTGTTTCAGTGAAAAAAGAGTAGCACTTTTATATTCAAACTTTTCCGAAATTGCTATTATTACAACTTGTGCAAGGAATTTATTAGACAATGATAATATTTCCATTTTGAAGCAGTATAAAACTTTGATATCACAGAAAATATCTATAACTGCATTATTGGTAATTTGTTAGCTTTCTGCATATTCAAGTAAAAAATATTATTTTTTTGTCTAGTTAAAAGCAGTATTGCGCAGTAGACATACACGGCTGTTACTAAACCTTCTTTTATAATTTTCTGTGCTTGGTGACAACTTAAAGCTTAATAATGTTGCTTGGAATGAGTATAAATACATCTAATCTAATTTTTTAATTACTTATTTTGTCATAAATGACTTTTTCTTTGATTCGCTTATTTTTTCGGTGAATTTTATTTTTCAAATTTATCAGTGATATTTTGTAGCTAAATTTTTGTGATGCTATCAACAAAAAAAACTAAATGATTAGGGTGAGTATAGAAATATTTTATGCATTATTACAATTAACCGTAAACGATTTTGTAGTTTTTCTCGGATTAATGAAAAGCTACAATAAATCCTTCTGAGAAGCTTTAATAAATTCTTTTCAGTGCTAAGAAAATTTGACTATTACAGCAATTTTCTCCCAAATGATTGCATTAATCAATTAAATTCTTCTCTGGTGATGTTGCAATTAAGTTCGTCCACCTTATTACATTGCGCAATTATAACTGTAGTAACAATTTGCATCTACAATATGACAGCAAACAAATCAGAGTTGAGAAATACTTTCCTTCTAATTAGATAAACATCAATAAAAAGGTTACTGCTATTGTCAATGCTGATCATACAAATTTAGGCATTAAATGTGTAATTCATTAGTTGTTTTTCACTTTATCTCTCTATTTGAAAAAGTACAACAATAATTAAACTTGTTAACAGAATGTTAAACTTAGCTTCATGTTTTCTAAGAACGAAGTTTGTTTAACACTTCCTTACACTTGACTACTTTCATGAGATCCTATGACATTTCTCAGTACGCAGTATTATGAAGAAAATATCTTCAAATTCTTCTTGAAACAAACAATACAAAGCATAGAAATATAAATATTTGATTGCTACTTCACTATGCTTCATTAGCACAACTATGTCTTAAACAAAAGCACCAAATTAGAGCGATCTTTAAAGTTTGTTACGGTGCATTTGTCAATAATAATGGTAAATATCTCAAATAAATGAGTAAATAAACAGATAAATAAATAATTAATAAATAAATGAACAAATTACATATATATGTTTACTCATTAACTTATTTGTTTATTAATTTGTAAATTTGTATAGTTTTTTATGTTCTATTTTCATTTTTAAATCGGAATTTAACGGGCAGTAACGTGAATAAATTATCAGGATAACAAATTAACTTACACTTACTTACTTCTATCCACCTTTTCTACCAAACAGAGCAAGCATATTTCTCAATTCTCAAAAAACTGTGTGCCACAGTCACTTGCATGCGTTATAATTTTGAGCACAAAATGAAACACAAACTGTAACACTGTAGTGAGAACCATTAATAATAAAATAATATATTCTTTTCTTTTCTATTGTTTAAGAAACCGTCATATCAAGCTTTGAGACATTAATGTCATGCGTAATACTGAGTAGATTTGTTGTAATAGCCAACATGCATAATGTTACTACTAGAAGAAACCAGTTATTTTTATTTTAAAAATTAGCTCAGGATATTGTAAATTTACTACACTGTTGCATTGTCTTATTATCCGAAATAGCTTTTCAATAGTAAAATATTTTCACAGTAAGCATAATAACTTATCATTTTAGGTCATAAGTTACGGTGTTATCAAGCAGGAAGAGTTCACTCCAAAATCTTAAATAAGCACTGGGAAGAATCGAAGAACTAACCTTGTCGCAATTACTTTTCAATTTTAATGCATTGTAGGATAATTGTGTATATTTGAGTGCTAGTATTCAAGATTTTTGTTAACATTTTATGTTTTAATTTTGTGTCATCAGCGCAGTAAATGTTGTTGCAAGAAATGAAATATTTATTGGGACTTTGCTGTCAGAGAAGAAAAAAAGTGAATGTCAGTATTTAAATTGTTGATACTATATTAGTCAAAGTTTCGAAAAAGCACAATTTTATTTTATGATAACTCATGTTGACTACTGTAGGAACCTTGCAGACCACAGTACAATACAAGTAATTCGAATATTTCGATTGCTGAAAGCAAATCTTCAGTAAAATAAAAGGTAAAAAAGTTTGATTTAATACAAGCGAAAAATAGAATGTTTTTGTCCCATAAACTTAGCATCAAAATGTATATCTACTTTTGTGGTAGAAATTTGTCAGCTTTTTTGTCAAGTCACGTTCTTAACATTTTTAAGCCAGTAAAAAGCAAGCCTATAACAAGTTTGTAAGAAAATTGCCAAATCTGGATTTAAACCTTTATGGAAAATTTTGGAAGACAGAAATGATTTGAAAATCTGATATGTTAGCTGGAATATTTTGATTGCCAAAATCACCACTAAAAATTCCCTAATTATGAAAACCTTCATTAAAAAATTATTTTGCATTCATTGTTGTTTTGAGCATAATAAGTAAAGCAAACAGTTTATTTCGTTCTTTGTCATTAAACAAAAAAAAGACAGAATAAAACTAGATGCGTAAATCCAAATTATTAATTAGATGCTAAACATTATTACAGAGAAGCAGTAAATGGTCCAAATATTAGAATAAATTTGTGAAGAAAATTTCTGTAAGATTTCAATCAAAACTGATTAATAACCATGGCAAAGCCAACGAAAAATACAAAGATGCATAATAATGTGAACTTCACTGCATTTTCAGTTTTGTACACATGTAATGAATGAACTTTAGCCTCTTTTAACGTTTCATACCACTTCGATAAATTTATTCAAAAAATGCTCATGCACTTATCTGCCTGTCAGCATCGCAAACTCATCTACTTAGAAAATTACAATAGATTCAAGTAGTAATTACATCCAACAAAAAAGGAACGAAAAAATTTCCCCATTTAAAATATACACTATTAAGAACAAACAAGTTTACAGAAGATCCCGACAATGTTTGATCAAGAAAGTTCTCCTACATTAATCTTTAAAAAAATAAAAGTTTTTACATTCTTCATTTCAATACCTGAATATTATCAGGTTTTGATGGAAACCACAAATATATCTTATAGATCAGGTAAAAGTTGACTTCTTCTCTGCATGTTGTTTCTTGTACTGAATCGGTTTTGTTCCATTAGCTCCAATTAATTTCCATAATTGCAAACATATATGTACAAATTAGATTGCAAGCAAAATAAAAAGTTAGACTTTCACCCTATTATTGAATATATGTAAATTGAGTACTTCCAAAAGCAAAGGTAATGCATCGTCAATCGCTGCTTATGGAAATAGATATGACAATGCGTAATGTTAAAAGAAAGAGAATGACCAACCGACTGACCAGTCCACATTAATACCTGTGCCTGCAACTATCACTACGAGCTTTCATCTATATCTGACTGGACTGACCTCCAATGAAAACCTTTTGCTAACTTGTTTTCTACCAAATAACTTCTACTTCATCCCATTTCATTTATTCCCTGCAATATCATTTCTTAAATAATTACAAAAGTGAGGAATAATGTACAAATAGACTTCACAAAATATATTACTCTAGTCAATAAAACTTTTATCTCCACATTTTGAAACGATATTACATTCTTAATAAAGCAAACATAAAACTTTTTCTACACGCAACAAAAAATAAAATGATGAAATACTTCCAAAAGTACCTCATCATCCATACTCGTATTATGGAGTAATATTCATCCTAGCAAAAAATTGAACTCGTAATAATACAATGAAAAATAGAAACATACATCAGTGGACTTTTTCTCATTATATCTACAGATCCTCATCAATATGTAAAACTTTGATACGTACTTTGAAAATAAGAACAATTGAATGATTACATGTATAAATTATCATGAAGCTACTTTATTTACAGTGGAATTAGTCTTAATACAGTATAAATAGTTAGTCATTAAAGTTACTTCTGCAAATCTATTTAGTTAGTGAAAAAAAGAAACCAATTTCGACATACAGTGTCTGACAATTTAATTTCATTTTAAATCTCGGTATAAACAATTGACGATGAATGCAGCGACATCAGGATTAGTCCAGTAAGCGAAGTGACTTTTCAGAACAGACCAATAACTGCGATCTGTTATCTGAGGTTGTAACTGATAATCGATTCGGTACGGCAACCCTTCAAATGATCTCTTCATAATTTTTACAACAATCATAGTAAGCAGTCAAGGACTATAAATCTAAATATTACAGTTATAGAACTTGTTACGTCAATATCATGACTAAGAGAAGATAATAAATGTATTCTACATGCTTCCTATGCAATTTTTTATCAACAGATTTAACTGCCCAAAAAAGAATACGCAATCAGGACTTTAATGTTAGTTCATGTAGTTTACAACTCACGCCAATTATTTTTTTAGCCTTAATTTTTAAGAGCACGCCAAAAAAATGAAACTGATACGAATATTAATGTGCTATATCAACTGTTAAGTTATGAAGCATAGATTACAAAAGAAAACCTCATAATTTTCCAGTCAACTTCATATAATTATTTTATCACTAATCCTGATCCGTCGACATAACTTGGAGATGAAAGAACTTTATAGTCAGTTTCGAAACATACTTTCCTCTTCAGGAATTTCTCCTATCAACTTTCGAGCTTCACTAGATTTGACTTCTTCAACAACTCCGTCGTTGGCATCTTTATCCTTCCGAACGCTCCCAAATTTCCACCAACTCTTTTTCTGATCACCTTCCGACGGCGGAGGAGTCAAACTTCTCGGTGATGAACCTAAGTAAATAATTATTTAAGATTGAACTTGTTTTCATACTACTAATGCCACTAACTTTGCATGAGAAAGCTTAAACCTATCCAGTTTCTATTCGTGATTAGAATAGAATCCTAAACGACCACACCTGGACTGCTCCGTCGAAGAGCAGAAGAATCATCACTTTCAGACTCTTCTTCTTCTTCTATATCCTCACGTTCTTTATCAATGACGTCAGCTGTTCGAACAATGTTTTCCCTTGCAACTTTTTCTTTTCCTTTCATTTTTTTGATGTAAGATTTGTTTATCTATGAAAAATACTAGAAAAATTTGGAACAGAGTGCAAAAAACAATGCGAGAAATAAGTGTAAATAACTTGAAAACTGAATACTAATTTTGGAATGTTAGAAATACTCTTGCAAGTTGAAGAATAAGTATTCAAAATATAAAAAAATACATACTATACCATATCTAAATAGATACCACCACTATATCTAACAACACTAAAATAAGCTCGAAATAATGAGTAAAAAATCAATTATACATCAGAGTATAACTAATAGTTATATGAAGATAAAAGTAAAAAAAAAACACCTCAGGAGCTAGAAGATCATAATCCTGCATTGAACAAAGATCAAGAGAAGGAAATAATTTTATAGGTCGGATCATGCGGTACTGTTTGTGTACCAGTGGTTCCAAACGATATGCCTTGAAATATTTAGAAAAAAGAAGAAACAGATCTCAACTATTGACAAGTTAGTTAAAAACACTTGCTTACAAAAATCAAACTCTTACAACTGGGTCGTAAGGATGAAATATATTATATATCCTTTTCAAATTTCCAGGAACAAATTTTGTTGAGCCTCGCATAATCAAAAAAATTGCGAGAGGTGAACCAACACAGAACATATTTGTAACCTGAAAAATGCAAATAAAAAGAAAAATAGTATTTTATATATCATGATGAGTATTAAACTAGTGGATAAAATAACAAATTCATAGATTTACCTCGAATTTTAATTTCTGCTTTTGAGTTATGAACGCCAGTTGAAATCCACCATAAAGTTCCAGTAGTCTGAAAGAAAATTTTGATTCTTTTTTCTGATGCGTGTCTCAACATTATTTTCGGTGAATAATTGTTGAATATTAAGAAGAATACGGACAGATTGGTACGAAAAATTAGTGTGAATATCCAACAAATATTCGTACTGACTTTTCCGTATTATGAATATTCATATCATTTCAGAGCATCTACTAACAAAAGGATTTAATTTACTGCGTCTGAAGAATTTTGAAAAATTCATATAATTTACTTCAACCGTGCCTCTTGAAAACCATTTAATATTTCTGCATGCTCTGCGTTGATTGATAACTGTTGTTGCTGAAATACAATAGAATTACTTTTTTTACCACACAAAAGAAGATTGATATAAAAAATAATAATTAAATCGCTCACTGCTTACTATGAAACATCGTGAAGCTATTTATTTACTACTCGAAAACAACTGTGATTTTAATATTAATAACAGAAATAATAAACAAATTGGGTATGTTTCAATAAAAAATTAACATACAATTGTTTCAGCTACATATTTGTCATATAAAACAAGAGGAGACCAACTAGTGAATAAATCATAACACATAACAGAACCAAGTGAATGAGCATAAATTGAGATCGGTCCCTCAAAATTGGGATAATTTTCTATAAAAAGACTATAGACGTTATTCAATGATCGTATTAAGCCTTCCATGATCTGAAAAATTGAACAGTATTGAAACTCTTCATATAGTCGATTTATGGCAACATATCAAGATTAAATTTTGAAAAAATGACGTATTTTAGTCGACTAGTATGATGGAATATTTTTTTAAAGATAAACACAGAACCCCACTTCATTTCTGTACAGAGGAGACTGATAGTACATGATATCCATAGCTGTTGAATTTAAAGCGCTACGCATTGAAGACATTTTCGGTAAAGTGACATAATCAGTAACACCCTGATCTAATAATAACGCTGCTCGCCATTCAACGGGTAACACCATCGGACGACTTTTTTCATTCGGATAATACTTATCCATACAATTAAATACAGCCTCACGAACTCTGAAAAATCATAAAAATGGCGACCTGGTATGCAGAATTCAAAAAACAAAAGTAAAATAAACGATTCATTTTTTGCATTACTCAATATTTCTGTTAACCAGTTTATCATTAATCATAAACAGATGAAAAAAAGGGAACGACAAAGCACTTCTCTAACGACAGTATAAGTTCTCAATTACTGTCCATGATATCCTGATTTATAAATAGAATTTAAAAAAATCATTGATAAAAACTAGGCAGAGTTATAAAAGAAAATTGGTTGCGGACAGAACTAACTGATCAGTATTTTTTGCAATTAAATTTTCATATCCTTTCTGACCAATACCATGAACAACCAAAATTAAATGCTTGATAATTTGTTTGCCATCATCCCATTTCGCTTCCTCATATCCACGCTTCAATAATGTTCCTTTACCCCACGCTATGTAACGTAGCAATCGACTGGTTTTAGAATTATTATACAGCGTGATATCAATAACAGAATTCCATCGTACTTCGTACTGGTCCTGTAATTTCAGCTCCGCAAGGACTGAAAAATTGTGCATGTAATAAGTAAAACAAACACAGCAATATTTTCTCAAAGTTAAATCCTTCAGCTCCTTTGCAAAAGTTGAAACATTTACACAAAACAAACGTTCTATTAAAAGAGTTACCTGGTTTTTTACTTGATTCCTTTTCCGAAAAAACTGGAGCATCAGGAATTGTTTGGGAACGGAAGAAATGTAAATGATGCTTTTCAATAGAATCAGCCATTACTGGATCAATAGGTTGCAACGTTTCCATTAGAAACCAGGTACCTCGACAAATTTCAATGCTATCATCTGAAAATTTACCGAATATCTAGAAAAGTTTGCTTGGTAACTTGAGCAAATGCAGTTTAGCACGGATCTTTTACTAGCACCTCGTTTTATATTCATAGTGTTAGAAAGATGCAACAAAGAAGTCTTTTATTACATTAGAAAATTACTAACCTTTCCAATAAATACAATGCAACATAGTAAGATCATCGGAAGCTCGATATAAACCACCTAATACTACGACTGATGAAGGTAGTTTTATATTTAGTAGATAAGATTCTGTAACGTGATCTAAAGCAACATTCATCCGCTGCCGCCAGTAAATTTCCAATAGTAATGAATCAGCACCTGGAACAAGATATAATGCTGAAACAGTTGACTGAATTGAAGCATTATAAGTGAAGTAGAATGTGAAATGATTTTTATTTTCAGTGCTGTAATCACAGCGGTCTTTCTTTGGAAAAGAACCCATTACTTATTTCATTCTCATGACAGTTCAAAAGATATGGAAAACAAAACTCCAATATATAGATCTAACAAATAAAACAATTATCTTTGGAAACAAGAAATTACTTCAATTCATCATTTCGGGAATTATAATGCAAGCTTGATTCATACCTTTAAAGGCAGTCCATTTTGATTCTGTTCCCCGTTTCCGATGAAACCATCTAACCTCAAAACACTTCAGTTCCTCAACACGACGTTTCTTATGCCGCGGTGGTACTGGTGGTGTTTTAGATGGATTACTATCAGTAAGCGACACACTTTCAGTTTCTGCTGATGACGATTTGAGAGTTGAACTTATGCTGCTAGAATCGTTATCATCAGTTTTCCTTAATGCCGTTGATACAGATAGATTCTCGATATCAACGGGATATTTACCAGTAACTGGTGTAGCCGATAAGTCATATATTTCCTTCTTGTCTAAATTTTCTTGAATTCTTTCATCTTCGTCAAGATTAGTATCCTCGGTTAGTTCCTGAGCAATACTTTCTTCATCAGCACTCATCTAAGAACAAAGCAAATTTGGAAAATAAAACACATAACATTATTCAAATGTCTATCATCGAATTGAAGGTATAATCAAACAGCATGAAAAGTCAACCCATTTTCATTTGCAAATAAATGCATTAATTTATCTTTATAACAAATAAAACTATAACTAGAAGAAAATTTAACAAGCTAAGAATACGACTGGTCTTTCAAATATACCAGTCCATATACAAATTAAAAAGAAAATGGAAAGAAAAAAATTCAATTCATAATGCATAAAAAAGCTTTCTGCTTTCATGCACTACAATGGATCATTTTCAATGTTCCAAAATTCATAATTAACAAAGTTGTTTTAAAACACAAAACAAACTTTATACAGCAAACATTTTAACTATTAACCAAAACAGCGCCAATAATTTAAATTGCTATCCAAAATGCCTGCATTCTCATACAGATATACTCAATTCTCGAAAAAATCTTTCGCTACTAACAATATACTACATACAATTACTGCAGTTGAAATGTTCTAAAATACACCCACAATCCTCGATTAGCAAAACTAATAAGAAGTCCCTCCCAAAGTTTAATTAGTAGAAGAACATTTCTCTTCTGACTCGAGTAGAATCACAATTTTGCATTCATCTTTTTCTTGTTTACAGTGTGTAAAATTCCCAAATTCACAAGCTTTTCCCTCCTACTTAGTAAATAAAAGCTCTAGTACACTCAAAAAATTCTGTTCTGATTTGTATACATGCATTCTTCTCCGATAATAATGCATATTTCGCATACATTTAAACTGCTTTTTCCCACAAACCTTATGCTGTCCGCAAGTTGCATGTCTGTATATCACACGTTTGTATCATAGAATGAGTATCATAAAATGATGCGCCATTGTCATGCATTTGTAAAAGCTATCTAATAAAGCATGCAATGTTTATGACACAAAATCGCGACATTACACTGTTTATTTTTTTTTTTGCTAAAAATTTGTTAAAATTTTTTAAAATAAGGTTAATCAGTACAATGTATTGCTCAAATGCAGGACTTCGTGATAAATTTGCAAGCAGCAATCTGCACCAAACAAAGCATTCGAATATGACAAATTTTTTGATTATAATTCAGTATGGCAAAAATGAATTAGAAGTAGAGCAAAATTACATTTTATTTAGCAAAGTTTTATTCAGTTAAAAAAATATTATAAAAAACTCTTGCATTACATACTTGTAATGCTATAATCTAGTGTGACGATACCAATAAAAAGTATAATTATTCTGAAAAAAAAATGCGTAATACTCTGAAATAAATGTAGAACCAGTAAAGGGATAAAATTTTCTACCAAAATAAGAACATACTTTTGAAATCGATCAATGTTAAGTATTTACAGAGTGCAGCATATACACATATACACATAAACATAGCATGAATACATAACACCACAACTTAAAGCATCCATCCATTCTTCCTTCTACCTATCTATCTATTCATTCATTCATTCATTCACTCATTCATTCATTCATTCATTCATTCATTCATTCATTCATCCATCCATCCATCCATCCATCCATACATCCATCCATCTATCTATTCGTTCACAAACACGACGCTGTCGTCAGCTGACAACTTGTCAAGGTTGTGAAAGCAAACATATGATTTGAATTAAAATGCAAAACACATCATCATATCACTCATTAATCATTACTTATCTCCAAATTTTTTCAAGTATTCGCAAAACAACGAGTACTTTTCGATTATTATTGAAATTTTAATTTCTATTTCTGATATTTTGTTAGTAGAAAGCGAACAAGTAAACAACTGATTAAAATGAAAAATAGTACTCATCACAAGTGCTTGCTACCATTACTTAATGCGCAATAATTTGTAAACGTTAGATAAGATCTTTTTTAGCTTTAAAAAAAACAAACTAAGTTTATGTCATTACATATTTTTAACATGTATAGTGAATAGTGGGGAAATAATATTAATAAAATAAAATTGGACGATTCATTCGAAAATGAAATCAGTGATAGCGAAATCAATCAATAACTTGCGTCATGAACAATTCAAATAATCGCATTAAGATAGTTCATGGAGTACACTAGTAATGAATGGAAAGATTCATTAAGTTAAATCTATAATGAATAATACTCTTGAAATACATACAAGTAATACAATACACTCAATTTTTCCAGTACGAATAACAGTGTCGTGTATCCTTGTGTAAAGGCATGCATAGTCAACCACCAATGAATATTTGTTAACTATTAATTAATTAAATTTGATGATAAAAGTGATTTGCTCAATTCTTGTTTCTGCAGGCCAAAAAATAATTTTCATCTGATCTTAATTAACTAAGAAATAAATATTCTTATTGAATTGATAGTAATTTATAGTTAAATTTTTGCTGCACATAATTAACTTGTGCACAAAAAAGCAAATATTGCAATTGTATTTTTTGAATAGAAAAATTATTTGTTTTTAGACTTTCAATAACTTTAACAAATTTGTCACCAATAACAAATATGACAACAGAACAAGCAAATATAGAACATACAAAAATAATAAAGTACATGAAATTGCACTGATAATATGAAAGAAACTCGACTGTAATAATTTTTACTACTTACATAATTGCTGGAAAAGATCATTTGATAGAAATAATGAAAACATAATAAATAACGAGAAATACATGACGGTAATGATGACGATAAATACAAATACTGCAAGAAGATAATGACTACCACCATGTGTCATGTATCATTTTAATAAAGTTGCAAGCATATTTCTGTAATAAATATGAAAAAAATTACAAAACGTGAAGAAAATATAGATTTAGCAAGAAACAGTTTGACATGATATAATTTTTAAATTTGAAATGATGACATCATATATATGGATTAACTTTAGTCAGCATAATTTTTGGTAATATTAGATGGCACGAATATGTTTGCACTACATAATAATAAAATATTCTGAGCATTTGGTGAATACATTCAATTATGTCCATGAGCAATGAATAGCCCAGATTAATTTTGATGAGCAATCTTTTTTTTGGCATTCTGAAAGATTTTTATATTCTAAACAACCTTTAATTTTAAGCATATAAGGAATTTAATGAATGCTGCGACCGATTTTCCATATAATTAATGCAGTTATAGAGATAATTTCTAGCACTTTTTCATCTTGAAAATAACATGTCTTTCACCTAGCACATAATGAGGTGATTTTGTATAATATAGTACCTGGATGAAAGATAAGGAGAAACAAAATCATCAACACAATGTCTTATACTTAAAAAGCAGAAGATCTAGCATTGGTTTAATAATCAAATAAATTACACCATTTTGAGATCATTTCTGAGGATTGACACGCGTTTACTCAGTTATAAAACTTAATAAAATAATTGCAAATCCTACGAAATACCTTCCAAAAATGATGCGCGCAAATACTTTTGTTATCTACTTAGTATTTATTGAAAATAAAACAAGACCTTAATTTTCTTGTATTTTTGCAAGTTTTGGAAATTAGTCAAAAATGTTCACAATTAGCTTTGAAGAAAAAGGCGCTTTCCTTCTTGATATTCTAAAACAGGTCAATATCTGGGTAATTTTTATTCTCCATCATGCACTATCGCTGTTTTGAAATGAAGCAGTAAAGGTAGGTTTCATTGCTTATAACCATAAAAAATTGCTAAAGAATAAATTATTTAGTGTTCTTCTTAGTAATCACATGCCATTAGTTAAAAATAAATATGTATCAACTAGATAGATTTTTCCTATTTAAATTTTTTAAATCTTTTTTTTTCTACGGATTCCTACAAATATACGGAAATACAAGATGCATATGGTAAGACAACATACTGCAATATGCGATAGCAACAAAATGGTCTAAAAAATAAAATATACTAAATATGAAATAAAATTAGTTCACTTCCTCTTTATTTCTCACAAATAACAAATAAATACCAGTTTAAAATTCACATGGCAAATAAATATGAGGCAAATAATGAAATAAATATAGCAGAAAGTACAAGACAAACAAAATATGGAATAAATATAAACTGAACAAAAAGCATATATTTCAAAACTAACTTCATTACAAATTTAAATTTATACAAATTTATTAACCTTTCGTTTCGATATTGTAAAAATATTCTTCTAAAAGCAATACAAGTATTTATGCAAAAATGTACTGCAAAATGTTGAAAAAGAGACATACAAAAAAGTAATCGAATTAAGTAACACTAACCATTTTTTTTGAAAAACGCTGCTGTTTTTGTTGTCGACGGAAGAATTTCATAGCAAGATTGCAAATTAGTTTACTGTTGCGAGTAAATATTCAATATAAAAGTGATACAAAGTATATAATTACTTTATCTACATGTAAATTATCAAAAAGAAAAGACAACTGATAAGGAAATTGATTGGTGATAGCAAAGGAAATGAGAGTATTTTACAGTAGACTGCCTAATATGGAAATGAAATCAGCATTGTTTTAAAACTGATAATGATTACAGACACTATCGAAAAAACAACTTCCAATTTCAGATGTTTTCTAGACTGATTTAATAGTTCTTAAATACTCACTTGAATTGTTACCATTATAATCTTTCTATCACAAACATTTTAATCAGCAAATGACTACTTATTCAAATGGCTGCAGTTTTTATATTGTTGTAAAATCAGTGCTATTACAGTTTAACATTAAGTATAACGATGAAATTTAAAAACTAAAGCACTACAACAAATTTCAAAAGTATGACAAATAAATGCGATTATTGTGAATGAGTAAAACAGGAAATATTGTCATAGCAGAGTGGAATCAAATGGATGATTACCACACAAGATTAGAATTTACTTGATCATTATAAATGATTGCTTTCCACTGATTAACACTACAAAAGACTTGAATTAATCTCGAATGAATAAATTACATTCATAAGTTTGAAAGCAAAAACTTGTTTACAAAATACAAAATGAATACATAATTCACAAGAATTCAAATTTGACAAATGAATTAAAGTGTGTACAAATCACAAAATCAAACTTTTTTTCAACTCATTTTACTTGAAAGCATAATAAATTGCTCGAACAAAACCATCTTTGAACATAACACTTATCACATTGCAAATCAATGTCATAACAGATCGAAGTACTACTTACATAACTTCACATATAACGTTAATCAAGACAAAAATAATAGAAGTAGAAGCAATTAATACGAGACATAATGCAAAACTAAAGGTTCAAAAGATTTTGTCATAGCTTGCAAGAATTCTGTTTATATCAAGTTGATTCACTCTTCTTGTATCAAGTTCATAGATTCTATTCATATCAAGTTCATAAACTCTACTTCTTACATCAAGTTGGTAGAATCTACTTGTATGAACTTGATAGATTCTGCTTATATCAAGTTGATGGGCAATAGATCTCTTCAGTATGTTACTTTGACAACAATTTCTGATTATGTTCTGAATGTCATTACTATCTAGACAATTTTATTCATTATCATCATTATTACATTGTAATTTTTAAATTCTTTCATTTTTTTTAAACTTTAGACATTTTTTAAAGAATTTTCATCGTAGTATTCGGTGAAAGTCTGATTTATTGATATGTAAGTTTACTTCTTGTTTTATTTCGATTTTGCAAATTAAGATTTGTTGCTTATCACATGCAATTTTATCATTTGTATCAATAATCTCAGTTATTTAAGCATTCATTTTAATTGGATGTGTTTTCAATCGATAAATTAAGTGTTGTCGGTAGTTGTGTGTTTTTAGTCAAATCGTTCGTGTTGTTGACCTGTACCCTTTTGCCATTTTTTGTCATTTAAAGAATTTTGACTGATTGCTGAGTGATGCGACAGTACTTCGAAAACTTTTCTTCCCTTTTTGGTTTTTAATTTTTAAAATACAAATTTCGATGAGTAATAGAAAGAAGAATTACTCAGCGTATAACATTGCAACTTAATAGATAGCATTTTAAGAATAACATTGAGAGTAAATTTTTTAGAGTTAAATCATACATTCCTATACAATATCTGTCTCTAAATTATCCATAATTTACGCTGAATGATTGACTGCTTTCATGCCAAATCACTTTTTGATAATAAATTGGCTTGGAAAACGAGTAAAATTAATTACACAATAGTCTCTTAATTAAAGATTATCATTTGGTATGTATGGACTTGTTTTCTCTTTCGATTGTGATGGTATTATTTAAATTTATATAGTCTGTCAACTGGTCAAATATCTGCATCAGTAGTAGATTATCGTTGCTAATTGTCCAGTAATGTCCACTGGTCAAATATCTACATCAGTAGATTATCGTTGCTAATTGTCCAGTAATGTCCGCTGGTCAAATATCTACATCAGTAGATTATCGTTGATAATTGTCCAGTAATATTTATATAATGTGGTGTTAGCGTTGTTTGATTTTATATCGAATACTGTTGATGAAATCAAATGCTTCTTCGTTTTTTCTTTTTTGCCTGACTTCTTCAATTTATGTTTTGAGAAATACATTTAGGATGATAGCAGTAAGCACTTCAATCTCTAAATGCATTGAAAAGTGATTGCGTTCGATAGTTTTACTCAATCGTTTTCAATTTAGTCATTCAAATGGATAGAAATACTTGCGTGTTAAATTTTTCATCATTTACATTCACATTTCTATTGAAAAAAGTGAGTTAAACACTAGTATTTTTCGCTTATAAAATTTTCAGTTTGATTAATTTGCTGCAACAATCTCCTCTTTTGTTCTCTTTAATTGTGCATGGAAAAATCGAATAAATTGTTTGCTGAAACTTGTTTGTGCTATGAGAAGTTAGTTGAAGACAAAATAACACACTTAGCGGAATGCTTCATGATAGACTAGCAAAGTTTTATAAGTGATAAGATCGCACTGTTATCTTGTTCATATATGATATGATATATGTATATCATTGCTCGGTTCTGCTCAGTTGTTGATCGGTAGAGCCGCCAGCTAGTGCATTGCATTACAAAGTAGAAAATCAGGAAATGGAGGATAAACGGAAAAAACCGAGTCTGGAATCATAAGTGAAAACAAATGGAAAACAGATTGAAGAAAGCAGTGTGAAAAATAAGAAAAAGCACTCGGCCAATGTACCGGAACTAGCAGAACTCTGAGCCTGGTGAGTACAAAGAGAGTGCTGGGACACTACACAACGTGAGAAACAAAAATACACTGAAGATTATATATGTACATATATATATATATAGCTCCATACTTTCTGAATTTAATTTTGAATTTTTTAACAATATTACTATTTCTAAAATTCATTGTTGCATATTTGTCTATGAATATGCAACAGGTTTTGATAAGAAATTAGCGCAATTCTGCGCTTTGGAAAACTAGTAGTGTTTGAGAGTTTTTGTATTTTTTCTGGGTTTAGCTGAATAGAGAAAATGCAAGTTCATTTTAAAACCAGTCGATCAAGAATAGAGTGAAAAAAAATTTAGCAATAGGGTTAACCAATGTGAATTAAGATTTCACGCAACATTTATTTAATCTAGAGATGTCAAGATTTGTCTACATTTCTTATTGCGCAGAAATTCTTTTAATATAATATTTGTTCCATGAAACTTCGTTTTAGACTTAAAAAACACTGATTATCAATGTATGTTTTACAGCCATCTGGAGATTTTGAATTGTTTTTAGATTGTAATTGAAATTGTACTGACAATGAAATTAAAATTGCATTGACTGTTAATCGTTTTTTTTAATATATAATTTATTGGTAAACTTATTAGAATACATTTACTTGCATTGTATGTGTGGATTGTTTCAGAAGTAAATTTATGTAGTATTTTTGATCATGTCATTTTATAATTCTACTTTTTTATTTCGCTTCATTTGTTTTTGGAATCTATACCACTGACATTCTGCTTTGCTTAATGATTTTACCATTACATTGCCTAATTGATATTTTAGGTTTTTTAAGGCTCAGGATTATGTTTTGAAATCGTTGCATGATTATGAAAATTTTTTCTGTGTAAAGTACCAGACATCGAGACAAAAGATTTCCATTTATATTCAATATCAAAAAACATTGTTTTAGAGTTCTCAATACAAGATTAGTGATCGCTGTCAACGAGCAATCAGCTATGAGCTTCAAGGTAACTAAGCTCGTAATCGTTGTTGATTAAATTTTTCTGTAAGAAAAGCAGTAGCTCTACATTTTGTATTTTCTTTATTTAGGTACTCTATGTTGTTTGTGGACTTCATTTTCTGGAACGTTTTATGCGTCAGTTTCCACAGAATCTTATTTTCTGTAAAGTTTGCTCACTATACCTCTGTTAATAACTGAATATGTGAAATACAATACTGTTTTGTAGCATATGGAGTTTTTTCAGGTTGGGATTATTGGAGGAACTGGTCTCGAAGACACGAAAATATTTACAGATATTCGGAAGCATAAAGTAGACACACCGTTTGGTTCACCGTCAGATACTTTAATTGAAGGGAAAGTTGGTGGTGTTACTTGTATTCTACTGTCACGTCATGGTCAAGACCATAGTATATCCCCTTCAAACATCAATTTTCGAGCTAATTTATGGGCTCTTATGCAGCAGGGTCAAATTATATATTGTATTTTATAAAATATCTTTATTTATTATATATTCACAAAAAATTTGAATAAATGTTGGATTGAATTTTTGGCCTCATGTGACTAGTCATTGTAGTTTTGAAAAATATTGCTGTCATATAAATCGTTTTAGGAGCAAAAGTAATATTGTCTACTGCGACATCTGGGAGTTTGAAAGAAGAGATTTCCCCGGGTTCGTTCGTAGTCTTGGATTCAGTGATTGATAGGTAGTAAAAAATTACATAGTTTCTTAACTACATACGTTTTGTATACTTACTTAGTTATTTTTAGAACGTTCAAACGGGAGGGGACTTTCCATGATGGTAAAGATGGACATCCGGAAGGTGTATGTCATATTCCCATGCATCCAGCTTACAGTGAGAAATTGAGGCAGGTGAGATCGGAATTTGAAGGGAATGCATTTAAAGTTTCAACAATTCACCTCTGAAGAAGCAAGACCCTGTTTTTGTGCTGTAAAAACTTATTTGATTGAGTGCAGTATGCCTCGTTTTAGGTTTTGGTATCATCTGCTGAAGAACTTAAATATAAGTTTTTCAATTTCGGTACTGTTGTCTGTATCGAGGGACCAAGATATTCTTCTCGAGCTGAAAGCGAAATATTTCGAAGTTGGAATGCAGATGTAGTCAATATGACTGTCTGTCCTGAAGTAATTTTTCTTGAAATAATATCGACTGACTTTGCTTACGATTTAAATAAAGCAACTTTGCAACTATTGCAATTATTAATTATACAAAATGTTTTTGAAATTTTTCTGTTGAATTTTTTGTTCTAAAGTCTCTCATGAAAGTGATCACATTAATAATTTGGCAGGTTTATCTGGCAAAAGAATTGGGTATTCCCTTTGCGACAACTGCTATTGTAACGGATTATGATTGTTGGAGAGAAGGTGAGATGGTAGGTTTTCTAAACAGTGATTATTATGCACAAGTTAACATTTAAAATTATCGAAATAAATCTTTTTTCTACTATGCACTTTATTATTTCTCAATAACTTTATTCTCAAGTAGCTTTAAGGTGTCAGTTGATTTGGTTGCTAAGAGAATGGAAGAAAATTCTGAGAAAGCTAAAACTTTATTTGTTTCTGCTATTAAAAAGATTGGAGCATTACAATGGGATCGTGAAATAAAAGATGCCAAGGTCCTCAACATACACTACGCAATTCATCTCTCTATTTTATAGCTCATCTGCGATATCTACCTTGAATTTCGTTGATAGATTCCACCAAACACATTTTCTTGCATGAGATTGAATTACAATAAAGTAGATTTGATTGCTTTTTATTTATATGCCACTTCGTATAGTCATGTATGATTGAAAATTTTAGGAAACAGCTCGAACGGCTATAATGGTGGATGACCGTGTAGTGTTTGATCATCTGAAGTACTGACATCTTAATCACCACCACGTTTGGAAGCGTGCACTTATTAATTACCGTACGTCTTCAAGTTTGATATCTTGTAAATAGTTTTTCATATATTAGAAAACTTTGTTTTTTTCAGATGCGCCCAATATTCATTTTCCAGTATAAATTGCTAACTTGTACATCATGGTTCCAGTCATCTTTATGAGAGTTAAGCTACTTCATCTTTAAGCTAATACTCTTGTGATGCTTTATCCCCTTAGTCATACTTATCATACTTATTACTGTTTTGCTAAACCGTAATATTTTGTTAGTTTGTTTTATTTTTATGTACTATCACTTAAAGCGTGGAGTAATATATTCACACATTTATAAAAAGTTTATGGAATCATCTTACTTTTTAATGGCGTGGGTACACATATCAACAGCAATAATAAATCCCTAGGGCAACCAATTCTTCGTTAACAATGTTAATGGAGTCAAAGAAGGAGGAGATGCAGTTAATGATGGTTCATGGAATTCAAACTTGCTTTCTAGACAAATAGTAAGTTTCAAACATTGACGTAAATAACTTCGGTCATGTTGACAGAAATCATGCTTTCCTCAATCAATATAGGCAAACGCACATATTTCCTGTCCATGAACTATAAGGTACTATTGCTTGCTGTAAGCACGATTATTACTACTCAAATAACTACCATGTCTGTTGGTCTTGAATGCAGGACTTGGAAAGTTCTGTTAGTTAGTTTTTTTCTGTAATATTTAACCTGATATCTGACGCAGTATATTGAAGTGTTATTTGAGCACATTATTACTCATAGTGACCACCATGGTTACATTACAAACCAGAAACAATAAAAAATAATAGATTTGTCAATAAAAATGCTCATTTTAAGCTTCAAATCTGTCACAATTATTTTGAGGATGATTTTCGTAATATTTTGTATAGAAGGCAGTATTACCAATTCCTCACGTTGGGAAAGCCATCTTGATTGTTCTGCACACCATTATTAAGTTAATATTTTAACTTATATGCGGATGAAACTCCAATTTGTCCTTCGTCACCAAGTATTTCACTAATCTCTCTAATACCTTAAAGTGCGACAATAAGTAAAATTCCTGAGAACTGAGAGTTTTTTGATTACAAAATACAGTTTGCAGTCAGCTTACAATTAAAATAATGAGTAAGTGTATGAGAACTACCTTCAACAACAGCGTGAAAACCATAATGTAAATACCACAGATAACTAAGATGCAATACGAAAGTCACCGTAGTTATGATTAGTTTCTGAGACATACCATGTGTGCGAGAACACAAATATAAACTCTGAAATGCATGAATCTCTTAAGTCATATTCTTAAAAATAGTAATAGCATCACAAGTCATATTATGTGTCAAAAACATACCACACGCAAAATGGAAGAAACGCAGAAAATGACTGCCATTGCATAAAAAAGTAGATGAGAGTGTAGAAGATGGAATATAGAAGTTAGAGAAATGACCACGCAGTGACTACACAGAGAATATCCCTGGAAAAAAGGTTACTTCAAAATTTTTTCATTAGTTTTTGCAGATGTATAACATTGGTAAGACCAACATAATAACCCAAAAAAAGATGCAAAAACTTACATATAACGAAAAGAATTGCATAAATGATACGTTGACGGAAAAAATGAAACATAATGTATATATTGTAAGGGAAATGAAAAACCAAGCACCAAAACAAGTGACCATTGCTGTACCAATCAAAGTACCATCTTGTACAGTATAACTAAAGTCACTTTAAGTTTATAAATAATAAAACCACTTCTAATAACCCATAAGCTTGTCAATGTTTGAAAACATCAAATGAATGTAATTTTGCAAAAATTTTATCACCAAATTAACTACTGATAACTTGTTCTACTATAAAAAATACTAGAAGTTTTTATTCTCTAAATATTTTCTGCAGAACAAGGACATGACTTTGAATCTCTAGTCATATAATTAGCATATTTGAAAATTGACAAAACTTTACGAAATAAATTACAAAAACGAAAGATTTATGAAAAAAAAATTTGCTGCTCTTCTAATTCCAAACAAATATCTGATCTTAATCTGAGATAACACAAAAACAACCCC